TTTCGATGTGATATCCTCCTCTAGTTGTTTTGATTTTCCTTTCAAAGCTTTTAATTCAGATTGTACTTTTTTTAGGTATTTATCTTCGTCCGGATGTCTTTTTATTTCTTTGCAGAATGTAGCAGAAGTACAGGGTGGGAAGGAACAGATTGCTTTATTGTGGCCTGCCAAGTGGCAATTTGAACACAGCGGTGGTTTATTGCTTCTATTAGAACGATTTGTTGCGTTATCTAGCGGCATGCTGCTTTTTTGTAACTCAGACAGTTCGCGTTGCTTCAAGGCGGCATCTTTGTCGACTTCTTGCTTCTCTTTAGAAAGCTTCTCGAAAAATCTATCAGTTGGAGACACGTTTGTTTTACCAGCAGTGTCAGCTCTTTCTTCGAATTGGAGGGATTTCACAACTGAAAGACACTTCGTTTTTTTTAGGCACATTATGTGAGATTCCAGGTTTCGGGGAAGGAGAAGGTGAGACACGAGCTCGCTTTTTTGACTCGCTCGCCTTGGCGCCATCTTGTGGTGTTAACGACAATACGCTTGCTTTCATTTGAATGACTTTCAAGTTTTCTCGTGTGGAATCCCTTGCAGTTTCAATCATGTCTATAAAACAGTCCAGATCTTCAGTTCCCAGGTCMATCCAATCTTYTCGATCGTCTAAATACTTCATTGAAATTTTGTTTGCCACGGAGACTCGGTAATCTTTCCAAAATTTTTTCCATTAACGAAGGGAAGTCTAGCGTTTTTACTTCTAGTGAACTCAAAAACAATTTTGCACATCTTTCCGTCGCTCCACTACCAATTCTAAGTTTAAACTCGTATCTTACGTTATTCATATTGGTGATGTCTTATACTGCATCCACTGTTAGTGAAGAATGACAGCAAGTTTCAACGAATGTAGGCGTGGTTGTAATACAAAAATTCGGGCCCATTCCACAGTTCGGTGATTTTCGTAGTAGTATGTCTTGTTCTTCAACTAGGAAGGCAACAAAAATTCGGGCCCATTCCACAGTTCGGTGATTTTCGTAGTAGTATGTCTAGGAAGGCAACAAACATTATAATAGAATTTATGAACAAGAAATTTGAATCATTTTAAGGCCATAGTGGTTTTACACTTT